AGTAAAAAACGTCATAAGAACATATGTTCGAAGTGGGCACTTCGAACGTTTTCTTTAACCCTCCGTGGACGGTGCCGGAGTCACGCGTCATGCGCTCGCAAGAGCGATACGTACACGCGAACTGTTCGTGTAATTCGGGAATTGATCGACGTGTAACATTGTATGAAAACGGTCAGGCTAAGACGTTGCAGAAGTATTGACTTATGTCTTCAGCTCACTCTATTTCCTTTTTTACTCGTTGTCCTTTCTTCTAGTTGAAAAAACTTCTACAGTGACGGTAAGGGCCTCGAGCTTGAGCCACTGTGACTTTGTGTTAGTAACCTATCGATGTGAGTCAGAAATGATCCGGCTTCGGACACCACGCGAGTCCAGTACTCGGAGAGTTAATCATACATAACTCTAAAACGAAGGTATATAGGACATACGTATACATGACATTTTTTACCTATGTCAGTCTGTTAACTTCCCCCCTATTTATGAATCACCCTGTATATCGTGTTCATAATTTGGAAATAACGATTTAAGGGTCTGGGCGTTAAAGGGTTAACGCATTTTCAAATAAAAAACTGGCCGTAGGTGCACGGGGATAAAATTTTTGTGAAATACCACTGTCTTCGAAAATTATCTACAATTTAAATAAAATTGTATCCATAGTTAACATTAAACAGTTAATTAATGTGGTTTCTGGTCAGAGCAGTGGTATTCGTTGGCGTAACAATGGCGCCGGAAGGATTAACGCGTGTGCTAGACTCGTGTATTCGGGGCGGTTTGAAAAACTCCTAGCAAGTTAAGAAAATATGCAGGGACATCTCCGTATTAAGTCGCTCAATTCCTTTATACAGACAATTCAACCGTCAGAAAGTGCTATTCGTGCTTCTTAAGCGGAAACGTTGAGGAGGATACACTGCCAATTGCGGAAGTACATTTACGAAGCATAGTGGTTTTCTCGTGAACAAGGAACGCGCGGAACATCTTGCGCGCACGCTACTAATCCTCTTCGTCTCACGTGCCTCTTGGTCGGACGCGAAAGCAACGAGAGTTTATAAAAATCCGTGCACGGAGAAAATACTTTTAGTTTCCTATAGCGGTCGTGATAAATCGGTCTTTTCCTATTGCGTTAAAAATATCTCGTCGTTTAACGACGACCTCAGTGAAGTGTATTCCCGTTTGAAGTCTCGGTATTTTTACGAGATACCGTTTGACAAAATGGCAACCGTGTATTAGTTGCAACCTGTGTATAGTTTACAGAACAAAAGTAACATAGGTGTCAATTTACTGTACATATTTGAAAAAGTTTACGTTGATCGATAAATTGATTATTCAAATAAAACAGGTTTCACATTAGTTGCCAAGATCACTTAATAAAATTAATTCTTACGGCAAAATGTGGTTGGAAATGTGAAACAGATATCGATTCGAACCGTTTCTGTTTGATTAATGACACGGTTTATCCAGACAAAAACCACCACCAGTTTTAATCAATCAATTAATTAACTGAAATGAAATGAGTGAAGGTATTAACCGAACTTTGCTATTCTATCTAAATTGGGAATAGAGTATCTGTTTAAATATAACACTGAATCTTTTAATGTTCCAAATGGGAAAACCTCCTTGAGATATTACATCGGTTCCAAAATGGCGGTGACAACGGAGAACGCGTCAGTCACTCGCCGAACAAAAGATACTTTCTCCACGCACAGTGTCTTCAGTTCATCTGGAGGGGATTCCAACTACTTTTGCACCGTCGATGACGTCAATTGCTTTTGGTCCTTATTGTACCTTTCGAAATTGATTTAATTTCACTGGCTCGATTACTATTCCCTTATATCGAGCATCCGAGGCCTTCGCTCGAACGTGCGAACATGATACTGGGCTATGTATAGTACATTGAATGGACTATATAAACCACTACATTTTGTTTTCTCGGAAACTTTTAAAGAATTTTCTTGAACAAAATTTTAAAGAAATTCTTTTTCACATTTTCTGATCACAATGGTCTTCCTACTTACATGGTATAATAGGTACTATTGGATTTCACTTTCAAAGAAACAGAAGTGTATGTTTTTACTTTAATAGAACACGGGGTTAGCATAATTTTAAATAGCTTATTGAAAAATCAATAAGATTTTTTAAAAATGTTTCATTAAATACAATGACAATTAATTTTCAGTTGAATTTTATTATAGTGTCTATATACCGTCTATATCAAATTGACAAGACTAAGAAACTAGAATGTTTGAGATGAGTGTGTATAAATATTATCTTTTTTAAAGAAACTTTTTACTTTCTCCGATAATTATGCTGTCTTATTAACACCCTGTGTTAATTGAAACTGTATTATACTGTTCTTTAACACGTACACTAAATGTGACGTTTCAAGTTTTCATTAGAAACCGCCATCTTATATTACATACATATGTAAGTACTTGCGTACGATGGTGGTAATTTCACAGTTTACATTAAAAAATCAAACGAAATCTGAAATATTCATACATTTTTTCATATTTTACATCAATATTATTCGTCATATGCAATATCTTCTTTTTTCAAAGTTTAATTAATAAAGTAAATAGCCTTTCCTCAATACAACGTTGAAACTTCAGCGTTGCTTATGAAAAATGGTTTCCAAATAATTAGTTTCGTTTGAAAATTCCATCACTTCTGTATCCGACTTTGCTTGTATTAAGATGCATTTATCTACCATTAATCTGGAAAACAATAATCACAACTTTTTGTAACGATATTTCATCTTCCTGGCGATTTCTCAATATTTCCTGCGTAGAAATCCGTCTTGTCATTGACACATGGATAGAGAAGTAACAAAACTTTCCGAAAAACCTAATACTTGCTGGTATCAAATGTGTTAAAAATACACTCTAATGTTTCATTTCTAAGAGTAACAGAAACAAGACCTACCTCGTGTAATAAAAAGTTTCCTAATACTTTAAGATACGAAAAAAAGAATTTTGCCCATTCCGGTAATGGTTTTTCGAGAAAACAAGCATGAACAGTTTATGTAGACCACCCGTGAATGCAATACAGCTGTACGGTACTGAAAATATTTATTGCATCACTCAAATTTACGTAGTATGTACGCACAATTTTTACAGCGATACGATTGATAAAATGATTCAAATCCAACTTATATTGGTACGAATAGTGACCACCACATGTTTCCAATCAATATCTGTTACAATTAATTTTCCTAGAATAACGTGTTGAATATTCGAGTGATGCGAGAAATAAAAATATTTCTAGTACTGTATACAGGGTGTCCCAAAATAGCTTCGACTCCCGGAAATGAAGGGTTTCTGGGATGATTTTGAACCACTTTTTCCTTAGTAACAATGTTATCCGAGGCTTTGCTAACGAGATATTAACAAAAATCCCCGACCAATCAGAGCGCGAGTCTGCCGGCCGAGTTCCCGCAGTAGAATTAGCTGCCAATTACAGCGTGTAGCCAACGCTACCGCGGGAACTCGGCCGGTAAACTCGCGCTCTGATTGGTCGGGGATTTTCGTTAATATCTCGTTAACAAAGCTTTGGATAACACTTTTGCTAAGGAAAAGGTTGTTTCAAATCATCCCAGCAACCCCTCATTTCCGGAAGTCGACGCTATTTTGGGACGCCCTGTATACACAATAGATACGTAGCTCGATGCATATGTCGCAAAGAACGATGAGAAACCCCTCTGCAGACTAGTTAGTCTGTGGGGCAAGTTGCGTTCGATGAAGTGGCTGGACGTATTATTAAGTGGATAGATCGAGTACGAGTGGCTCTCGTTCCCCCTTTTATCTCGTCGGGATCGAAGCTGACAGTGGGCCGGTGATCGAAGGTTTCGCGCGACGTCCGGTCGGAGGGCGTAATAAAAATTGACGCGGAGGGGTTGTGCACTTTTCTACCATACTTTTTAATCTTATTAGGCCGAGGGCGGTCTTCGAGACGTGCCCCGTCGAGTTCTTAATCCGGCCGGAGACAGTCGTGACTGACTAGATACGTTCCTCACGTAACAACTTCCGTCCAAACGACGTAGGAACTCAGAGATTGGGGACGTACATACTCGGTGGACCGTTTCGATTAGAGATGGCGTGCAAAATCACTAACGGTGATTTATCACAGTGATCGCCGAATCACGATCACGGTCGTGATTTAACTTCATTCACAACCGTGATTGCGATTTTTCTATCTTGGGTGAATTTGCTCACTGCGATCGTAAGTCCTTGATCTTTAAACAGAAAAACGTATTCAATATGATTTTACGATGAATTACATTACTATTCGTGTTTGTAAACATCAGTAGAAAAAACAAGAAATTCTAAAAAAATGATTTGCTAGGTAACATGTAGATTATAATTTGTAATCATTAATTTATTCATTATTCTTCATTGTTTCCACTTATTCCTTCACTTTATACGATATAACCCTAATTTTCGTTTTGATGTCGTTAATGTGAAATATACAAATTATGTATCGCGTGTAAAGAACTGTTAGGTTTCTTCAACCAATAAGAAACGATCACGGGAAATCACGAATCACTGTGAAAAATCATCGTGATTGGGAACGAACTTGATCGAATCACGAGTGATTCACAACTAGCAGTTCACGCCATCTCTAGTTTCGATGTCGAGACGAGAGAAACGGAAACCGCGAAACGAACGAAAAGTAACGGGTAATCGGGGTTGAGGGAGACGGGAGGGTTACTAAGCGGAACATTCTTACACGTCTCTGTTCGTATAACTCGGATTATTCCAATGTGATCGATTGGACACGACCGGAAGTTGCCACAGAGTGGAAATATACGTCGCGATGCGACCGATAGATATCTCCAGTTAACACCGCGATTACCTTTTCGTTAATATTTACAGTAAGCTGTCCACTAATTTCAACCGTCGACGACCTAGTAGTCTTTTTCATTCCATTTTTTTCTCTCCCCTTTTCCGTTTCTTTTTATTTTTTCTTTCTTTAAGATTTCGATTCTCCTCGGGAGAATTCTCGTCGTTGATGAGTCTGTACAAAAAGGGTGGATGATCGGTAATAATGAATCGCACGCCGTCACAAACGTCGGATTAGCGTGTTCAAGGCGATGACCGGGCGCGCGCTGTTCACCTTGAACGTTGCTCGTCGACGGGCTCTCGCCCTGGCTACGCCAGAGCGATTCATCGTGCTGTATTTTTATATCCTAGCAACGACCCGCCCAAACGGGCCTGACCACCTAATGTCGGACGGTACTGGTGTCTTTCAGGGGATGCACGAGTGCGTGTTGGTGGCCTGCGCGGGTGACGACAGCGCCACGGAGAAGTCCGAGTCGAGAACCAGATCGCTGATGCAACCGACGATACCCTTCGTGTACGTGCCACCCGTCGTCCTCACGATGTCTGGTGCACCGCCTGTAGATACATAAGACAATTTCAGTGTAACGGTTACGCAAGATCGATCGCCTTTATTGGGGACACTTTGTCACAAGAAGTGCGTTCCTCGCTTTACATTCGAAAAATAGACTCAAGAAGTAGTGGGGCATGTGCCTGCTTTTAATCGTAATCAGTTTTTGTGAAAAATCTGGACATTCCATATCATCCCGACAGCGACGTCCTTATCTGGACGCATGCATTCCAGCCCCTCAAAGTGTTAAGGGATCACAGGAAAAGTCTTTGTACGTAGCAATTTACAGATGAGTTTTGGGACAGCATGATATATTCAGTTGATTTTTGTTACAGATACTTACAAGTAATATCAAATGAGTTTGAACACAAGACATTCTAGTCACAGCATCGCTCTAGTTTTTAATTGTTCTATCTCCACTAGCTTCTAAACTGAGAAAACTAAGATTAAAGTTTACGGAGTTTAATATTATAGAAGCAAGAAACTAGTAAAGTAATTAAACACTCTATAATATCATCTACTGAATTAAAAGCTATTTTTTACAATATTTAACAAAATTTTATCGTATTAACAATATAAATTTCTAATTGTTGTTAGTAGTTGGCGATACAACTATTAAGAACAAAAACTTTCAAAGTTTCTGAAGTTAGGACTTAAAAGAGTAATTGTTTTTTGGTTGAAGTTTCTTTATATTATGATGAACCAATGGGATGCACGTAAATTGATTAACTGAGTTTTTTTTAAAACCAGAGGTAGAACAGTTAAGAATCGGGGCGACGACAGGTTAATTAAATTCTTTAAATACTGATTAAAAGTTGAAACATACACGATGAGTCGTCGGTTGTGTATATAATAACGTCTCAGGAAGTGATACCTGGTGAAGAAAAATTTGGATGTTCCAATTTCTTGGTGTTCAATTATAAATCAAGCCTTTTCTTACCGAGTTGAGTAACTTATTGTTAAAAGTTTCCCTGAATTCGCGAACCTCCGCGAAGACGACCTACTTTGTGATTCTAGTAATAACTCAAAGACGACTAAACAGAAGTCTACAGGTCGGTTCAGCCGAGAATTGCTGGCCGTTAATCTACAGCTGAGTGTTGTGTTCCGACCGTAGAAATACGGTTTCGTGAAAGTTACCAGCGATATGAATTATTAAGCATTTCCAAAGAAAGTAACATTAACCAGTTTTGGAAAGTAGAAACACCACTACTATAATTTCTGCTCCTGATTGTAAAACTGCAGATTGTATACTGACAAAAGTAAACCACAACAAAATAAATATCACGAAACAGTATTTTTATTTCACGTTTATGCCGGATGGCCTGTTAATCTGTAAAGGACGAAAAGTCTATCTTTAAGCTCCAGATAAGTCGCTTATTCTTCATAGTATATCACTATAACAATAAAATAACATAAATCGTTTCTAATTATTCCTTCACTTTATACGATATAACTCGAATTTTTGTTTCGATGTCGTTAATATAAAATATATAGGTTATATGTCGCGTGTAAAGAACTGTTATGTTTCTGCACCAATCAGAAACGATCACGAAAAATAACGAATCACTGTGAAAAATCACCGTGATTGGGAACGAACATGATCGAATCACTCGTGATTCACAAGTAGCAGTTCACGCCGTCTCTATCTTGTATACGAGGGAATTCAATAAGAAAATGTCTCATCAAAACGTTCCACTCACCAACGTAAAGACCGGTGTCAGTGTTCAGCTGTCTCAGCTGTCCCGGCGAGGAGGCTGAGACTCCGGCCCCGCTGTCGACGACCAACGACGCCCACTGTTCGTTCCTAAAGAAACATCCAGAGAGACCGGCTTCAGTACCATCGGAACTCGATTAAAACAGTTCTTATTCAATTAAAACTTTCCCGATACGGGCCGCGAAATTATAAGTTCCCGAACGTGGTTACCTAACTGCCCGAACACGATGCCATAGGTCATCGTCCAGTCTCGTTAGATTGTACCGTAGAACTGCCTCGCCGGAGCCAAGATTATACGCTAATGTCAGGTAACCGCGATCCAAGCCGAGGGCGAGAAAATCATCGTTCTCGTCTCTTTGTTCCTGTGGATCCGCCTGTCGACCGCTCCACAGCAGCAGACCGCTATTGCTGCTCGCACGAAATCTCATATTGATGTCTACCCTGTAGCTGATTATCCTGAAACGAACCGATTTTCGTTGTAACAAGAATAATCTTATTTTGATCGATTTCTGAAGAGCTAATCAAACGTTGTTATCATGTACGATCAGCGGTTCTTAACCTGGGGTATGTGCTTGGTGTTTTAGATGTAAGCGAAAAAAATTTAAATTACAGCAATCACATAAATTAGAAGTATTTCTCTAATATTAGGAGGTACAATTTCGGATAATCGGATGCTAAGTGGTACGCAAGTCAAAAAAGATTGGGTTATTGCTGATATAGATAATTTTTCGTCTGACTTTGTATCTATCTACAGAGTGGGTCAGGACGAATTGTAAAGGGTTTTCCAATAAGAACGATATGATTTTACATTGCAATAAAATAAAAACTATTTTAGATACAATTAAATTTTTTATATTATTTTGAAGTACAGTTTATTACATTATGTTTTGAATAACCCATCATTTAAGTGTCCACCCCGATTTCGTGCACACGAGCGAATTCGATGAACCCAATTTTCCATGATTTTGTGCTATAACTCGGGCCTAATATCATGAATGCAGCGTTCGATGTTCTATCTTAATGCATCAAGGGTTTGTGGTTTGTTTACGTAGACCATAGATCTCAAATAACCCCACAAAAGTAATCTAAAGGAGTTAAATCACAACTTCTTGGAGGCCAACTAACAGTTGCATTTCCTGAAATTATCCTTTTATCGAACTGTTCTTATTCTATTTAGCCATGATAAATTGTCAGAGTATACTAAAGAGATATGACAACTAGTGACAGTTATAACATTTTAAAAATGGTTGCCATTTCATTTTAAAATCATATCATTCTTAGTGGAAAACCCTTTGCAATTAGGCAGGAGATTATTCTACATGTAAAAATAAGTCGAAAATATGGAATTACAGTTTTTCGTATGGTGCTTCGTTTCATTTCGGAGATAATCGAATTTGAAAGTTCATGTAACATTTATGCATTCGTACAGACAGTAAGTAGACACGGAATGTAATGAACAGACGCATTAGCGAAGCATTCACTTGTATATGCATGCAGCAGATTTTCAAATTGGATTATCTCGGAAATGAAGGATCATATGAAAAAATTCCATTTTACATTTTCGACTTATTTTTGCATTTAGAATAACATGTCTGTTTGTACCATCTGTCCTGACACATCGCTATATATTCTGAGAACCTGTTTTTCTCGTATTTTTGTCATATTCTTTTTCCTCTATACTTTATGGTTGCATCATCTACTTCTTTGAGTTATTAGTGATACAAATGGCAACACGATATAATTCAGTATGCTTTAGGCAGTTTACTAGTCCTATAATTGTTTCTGTATCCTTTAAATTCCCCTTAACACGTTGACTGCCAACTACGCAATAATTTGTAGTTGAAACACTGCAAACAGTTTGAGTTATTCAAAATACCGTTACAAAATTGTTGCGTAAGATTAATATCGCAGTATAATTTAAAACCAAACAGCCTCTAGTTAACTAAACGTGTATATTTTCGAGAATTTATGATTTAAAAAACGAAATAAAGTGTGTCTGGCTACGTACTGCCTTTTTCAATGTGTCAGTCAACGTGTTAAAGGTGGGTATAGCGTTAAATAGTTGTCAGTAGATAGAATATTTTCTGCATCGAAAGATGATATGATCTATTGTTAGTACGATATTGCATGAATCACACGATAGGGGATCATTTTTTTCGAACAGATAATACAGTAAATCCTCCTTCAAAGGTACCTCGGCCCTGACATGGAGGGGTCCCCAGGTGTAACGCTGGCTTTTTAATGAGGTTTAGCACAGTGATAGATCTTGGAATTCTGAAGCCAATGATATTTGTTTCAGTCGCATATGGCGTTTATGAAATATTTAATGTTCAGTGCCGAGGAGCCTTCGAACACTCATCGAGGATTTACTATTGAATTTCGGATTATTGAATCATTTTCGTGTGCCCTATTCTTATCCTTAAGATCATTACTTGGTCTTGCTGATGTGTTCGTATCGTAGAAATTTTGCTTTGATTGTCAATATGCCATTCACCAACTGATGATTTCCATTCTTCGTTCCAGTTGTGCCCAATTTTTTGTCATATATTTATCGATAGCGGTGAAACTAATTTAAACATGAATTTATAAAAATTAGAATAATATCCATGATTTTCCGGGATCTACCTTTTCATCGTGTCCGCGTCGTTGTAATGAAGGTAGCTCTCGCTGCCGGAAAAGCTCGGCACGGATCGTTCGTAACGCGTGCCAACGCTCGATTTCACCGGGGATGAGCCGAGGATTGTATTGTCATCCGGGGCTGGACAGGGATGAGGCATCCCGGGTCGACAGCGACAGGTGAAACGGTCGCGGAGTGGACGGCATTCCGCGTCTCCGCAGGGCCTCGCTTCGCACGCGTGCCCGCAGTTCCCGACGTTCACTCCGCCGAGTGCCTCGGCGAGAATTCCTATCTGTAGAGCGAAAATATGACTGTTATTAACATACCATTAATATTATAAATTCTAGACAATTTTACAGTTAGTATTTAGTACATAAATATTATAAACTATATAAATATTAGTTTGCAGGAATTTATCGTTGATAAAATGACAATCATTTAAGTAAATTAATATCAAGACTTTGAGGAGCGATGACGTCACAGTGACGTTCATTCGATTGTAAATTTGTACTTTTCAGACGTTCGGTGTTATTGAGTTTTTGTTACATAGAGGAAATCACATTTTCACACAGGCCAAAATAAAAAATTTAATGGATCATACGCTTGTTTAGCTCAAGTAATAAAAAATGTTGAAATATATAGTTTTGATTTGACTGGAGGTAGATAAATAAACAAATTTTTATCAGTTTTAGGGATCCTTTTCGAGGACGTCATCATTCATTAACAGTGTTCTTAACGTCTACATGAAATTATCAATTTTTAGGACATTTTGTTTCCATGTTTGACTGAGGTTGGTGACATAAATGGTCTCAATAAAACAATAACGCATGGGACAAATCAAAAGTTAATGTGGGTGTTTTGAAAAATAAATGAAATTTCTTTTTGAACTCCTGAATTTTGATTCTGACCACTGTGAGTTGTAGTTTTAGAAGAACTACAAATTGATCTCCTCGTCTGAAGATTGTATACTATTTAATCAGATAAGATAAAAATGATTTAAGTTAATATTAAGATTTATGAATCAAAAACCTTTCATTTGAAGTCTGCATGGTTTAATAGAATATTTTTGACGTTTTTGTTTAAAGCATTTAAATGTTTCCTGTTATATGTAATTGACAATAGACACGTGTCGCAATTTGACTGTATACAGCAGTAAATTATAATTGTTTTGTTCATCGACTTATATTAAGTGTATGTAAAAGTAACAACTGTTTTTTCCACGAAAATCTTTAAATGTTGAACAATTGCTACAGCATCTCTTACTCGAAATAGTTCCACCTTTTATTTATAATATTTAGCAATTTTTCTGACGAACATTGAACATTTTGCCGTTAAAATGAAATAAAACCACAATAGCACTGCGAGAATCTAGGTACTTACTTTTGTATTAAACCCAATAATTCCCTGACTTCAACTGAAAGCTATGTTTAGAAACTAACTTGCAAGTCTTCATCGACATCGATAATTATTATGAATATTTAATTACATACATGCCGCTATCGAAAATGTCATTAGACTCTGGCAATTCTAAAGTCAATTAACCTTTTAACGGTGTTTGATGAGTTCACACGTCACGAGGAAATTACCATCTTTTGGGTAATGACGAGTATTCTCGTCGTGTGAAAAAATAAAATTCCCTTGTTATACAAATTGAAAATTTTAGTAACAATTGAAAAATATATTACTTTTATTAGAATAAAGGTATCAAATAGTTACACCGATAAAGGTTTAACACTAGAAATAACCAAGCAGTCAAAATGATTGGTTAGTACACTTTTGTAATGATGATTAAAATGTTGCAAGAAGCCATTCAGTCAGGCCTTCTACAACTTTTATTGCAATATGAAAATGAAGTAACCAGTTAATTTAAAAATTTAAAAACTTTCAAAAGTTTGTCATGTTTATTCCTCCGATAGAAACAGATATACGTTTATCGTCGGTAGTTCATCAATTTCAATTCAATTATTCGTTCAACATTCAAGTTCAACATTCAATCAATGATTCGAGACACAAAAGTTTACATAGTACAACAACAAACTGCTTTAAAATTCTTCAGTATAATTTCATTTTGTGCTCGTAAAGTGTATTTCCCAAATCGAGCGTTTCAATTACCATCGAATCACAATTGTCCCAGTTTAGTTGGGCCCCTTTTAATTGGAAAACAGTGATCAATTATCGATAATTATCTGTTCCCAGGAATATCGAGGCGCGAATGTTCATAAATTTTCCGAGTCGCGTTACACAGTTCCGTTGAATTTAATGCAGCCGGTGCGTCCGTGAATGTATAAGTTGACGATAGTTCTTCCGCGATAAAGGGAGAGGGGTTCGGATGCAAGTCTGCGAGTTTTCGTGTGTATTAAAAGAAGCAACCGGTTGGGCTGAGCCTTTGCTGGGGGATTCAGCTCCTCGAATGCGCCATGAGGCAAAAAAAAAAAAAGAAAAGAAGACGAGTTAAAGCGCACAATGCGTGCATTCGTACGATTTAATGCCGTACAAATATTTATGCCAGGGCCATTCTGCGAGATAATTTCCGCTGAATGGAACCATCCGTAGCGTTAATAAATACTTTCGCCCCCGGTGGAACACTTTTAAGGATTCAGAATTCCGGTTCAAATGGGCGCACGCTCAATTATACCTGGGGTCTTTGAACGAATGAAATATTAGGTTTTTAAGGATAGAAGTAAAAAAATATGGTAAATACCTATACATGTATCATATAAAATATCTTTACTCTGTATGTATATCATATACATATTTACCATCTTTTTTACCATATCTTTCCATATTTCAATTAATTTCATTCCACCAGTTATATATATATTGTAGAATGGCCCTGAAAATTGTGTACAAGCAAACATAAGGTGATTTTACGAGAAAAAATAAATTGAAAATATAAAATAATGTTTTCATTACAGATTTCGTTTTCGAGAAAATCGACTTTGAAAAGAATCCGAAACGCGTGTATTCGTCATGATAGTAGGTAGAAACGGAATGCAATACAGACGCGCTAGTCAAGTCCTATTCAATTGCACGCGTATCTAGCAGATTTGCAAATCTGATTTTCTCAAAAATGAAACCTCGAATGACAAAATTATATTCAATCTTTTCTTCTTATCATTTTCTGAAAAATCACATCAAGCCCGCTTATATATAATTTTCGGAGGCAGTTTAAGATATGTTGTGGCCCAGGGCTATCAACCTTCAGGAGCCCCCTTGGGAGAAAAGCTTGGGGGGGGGCAAACAATTTTTGTACAAAACATACAATAGAATTCATAACTTCTCAAAAATTGAAATTTCTGCTAAATACAATAACATTTAATCATAACAAATAATGCTTTGTTATATTTGAACAACATTCATCTGATTTATTTCTACATTTAGTGCAGTTTTTGATTATTTCACAAGGAAAACAGTAAACAAAATTTCATTTACTTATTTTCTGACATAAATGGAAAGAATAAAGCTGGACCTCCTGGAATGTGGGACCCGGTGTCGTAACCTCCCTAGCCCCGACCCCCCTTAATTCCAGCGCTGCGTTAATGAAAGCTGGCGTTGTTTCTTACCTCTCGACGGTTCATAATGACGGTCTGAATGCAACCGACAAAGCTCGCCGTCGTCTTCATCTTTGGCGAGTACATGTCCGTCGAGGGCGCGCCGCCTAGGTAAAGATTTAGCGGCAGAGACAGCTGCGTGAAAGCTCCCGGCGCCAGGATTTCCTGCGGAGGATCGTCCTCGACCTCGAGGGACGCCAAACGTCCGGTCCTCGACACCCGTACCTCGACCCATTCGCCAAGGCGTACCGGATTCTCGCTTCTGCAACATCGATCGATACCGTCACCTTTCGCTTCGCACGAATTCAGGCGAAACCCCGTACGCAGTCGCTCCATTATTTACTGGACCTGAGCGTTCTGGAAATCAGAGGCTAATCTCGATAAACAAACTAGATTCGCTTTACTAACAATAATATGCCAAATCGTACAGAGGAACTAATTTTCTTCGTGAAAATGATAAGGCAGCAAACAAAATTGATCAGAATTTACTGTAAATTCTTAAAACGAAATGTAAAATGGTAATTGGTAAAGATTTGTTTGATGGGAGGGTAAATACTTATCCGTGTAGGTCCGCAAACGTATTGGTTCTAAGAAGGGAACATAACGAACCCATACACGCTGATTTTAATGAGACTTATATAGGAGATAGTTCTCTAAAAAATATTTGATACGTATTTTTTTTAATCGGCCATTGTTCATATTAAGGGGGTGATAGTAGCCCCCAAACTTAAGGGATGAAAATATGTTTTTTGAAATATTTGGGAAACTAGAGGGAGTAGGAAAAAGTTATTTTTTCTAAACTGTGTTTCTGAATGGCGAATTTTGTCACATAAGAAAATTAAATAAAAAATTATTTATTTAAATAATGCATTAAAAATTTGAATTCGTTGTTTCATTTTCTTATGTGACTAAATTCTGTATTCAATAACACAATTTAAACAAAATAATTTTGCCTACTCCCTCTAGTTTGCTACTCCCTTTTGGGGCTCCTATCACCCCCTTAACATGGACGATGGCCGATAAAAAAAAGTACATGTCAAATATTTTTTGCAGAACTAAAACTTTTGCAAAACAAATAATAATACTTTTTATTTTGCGAACTACTCGAGTGAAGTGACAAACGTCCATTCGTATCTCGATCTAATCCTCATGTGTCTCTGATTGAAAATTGGAACATATTTTTCTTATGTTAGCTAAAAGCTGTAATTTTCGGATGGTGAATTGAGATAAGTGCTCGTGTTAATTATTATCCTGTAATCCAGTAGTTTACATAGTTTGCATAGTTCTGTAGTCACATAGTTAAGACAGTTTCTTCCTCTTACCGCGAGCACGGTCTGTTAAACAAATGCAAAACCCGTCGAATACTCTCACATATCCCACCATCAAACCAGAAATTCCTGGAAATCCGCGTAACGTAGTTCGGAAATTGCCGCTTGTTAGGGGTGTTCGAAACCCGTCGTAGTTTCGAAATTCATCCCTCATAACAGCAGTTCCGTTCGTCAATTTCCACGGGCATTTTTCGAGTCTGAATACGGTCTTAATGTCCGCGGATACTTAAGCTCTTGAGCCGTTAGGCAAATGATTCCAGCGGTTGCGAATACTACGTCGAAGGCAATATTTATTCCATCGCGGGCGTAACATTCAATCTCGACGCTGCCTGGCTTTCATTTCTGACGCCGTCCCCACTAATTCCGTCGTTATTTCGTTCGCTGTCTCGCCCTCAAAATGAGAGGAGGACCGTGGAGGAAGCAGAGTGATAGAGACCTGTGAAAATTCTTGACGGTTCAATCCTCGAGATCGTGGGCATCCTCGATGATCGAGGTAAACGACCTTACTATAACTGTACTGACTGCATGTATTTTTCAACGGAGAATATGACGATATAAACAGAAATTTAATTCATGAATTAGGAGAGATGATACTCTGTATTATGCGGATCTCAGACCCAACACTTGCCTGCATTCCGGGGTATATGATCGAGTATATCTGTGCTAAATATTCTTATATTGCGATGGGAACTGCATTATTTCGCGCGTTTTTAGATGAAAAATAAGATGGATAAAGAGAATTTGGATTTGTGAATTAAGAGGGTCGATGTTAGTATTGTGTGTGTTTGAAACCTAACTTAATTAATAAAACCTTAAACTTAATTCAAAATAATGGGCCTGATCGCAAGGGACATGAACAAGCTATTTGTGATAAATATTTATATATCACGTTGAAAGTTGTACTGTTTTACATGTCCTTTAACGAGAAATAAAACATTTCACGTAAGATTTGGAACCATAGATTAGGAAAGACAATATTAGTATGACAGGGATCTTACACTCAACGATTAGTCTCATTGCGAAGGATAGGATCAAGTATATTTGTGATAAATATTCATATACCACATTGAGAATTGTACTGTCTTACGTGCTATTCAATGACGAACAACAAAATTCACACAGTATTTGAATTCATAGATTTGGAAGGACGACATTCATAGTCATCATATAGGTCTTAGACCTAACGATTGATCTGATTGCGAGGGACATGATCCAGTATAATTGCGGTAAATATTTATATACCACATTGACAATTGTACTGTCTTACGTGTTATTCAATGAGGAATAAGACAGTTCACGCAGAATTTGAATTCATACATCAGGAAAGACGATATTAGTCATCATATAGATCTTACAATTCGACCTAACGATTGATTTGATTGCGAAGGGCATGATCAAGTACATTTGCAGTAAATATTTGTATATCACGTTGAAAATTGTATTGTTGACGTGCCCTCCACTGGGAAATATGATACTTCACACAGAATTTCAATTCATAGATTAGGAAATACGATATTAGTCATCATATGGATCTTAGACCTAATGATTGGTTAATGTGATGAATATGATCAAGTATATTTGTGGTAAATATTCATATGTTACATTGAGAATTATGGTGCCTTACGTGTCTTTCAATAAGGAATAAAGCGGTTAACACCAAATTTGGATCCATCAATTATTAGGGACGACACTAATCATTATATAGATTTTAAACCCATCCGTTGGCTCCATTCCAAATTACGTGTCTTACGTGTTCTTCAACGAGGACGACGATGATCCAAACGGAAATTAGTAGATTGAAGCGAGTGAGAGTCACCTTTTTGCGGAAACCAGCGGATGTTGTTCCTGCAAACGAGCGAACCGACGACGGAGCGCACGTAAATGCGCGTCTTATTTTACAGCAGCACCAGCGAACGAAAGTTTGCTCGTTAGGTAGCTACGTTTAAGAACCGCGATACGCTCGTGGCAGCGAGCCACGACGCGTTTGCCTCCTCGAATAAAAAGAAACGGCACGAGAGATGGGAGGTGTATTGAAAGTCAAAGGGCTGAGATAAATGGAAACTGCGGTTCATGGAAATATAATGTCGCTGAAAATTGCGATCGCCGCGAATGAGCTCTTAGAAAGCGATTGTCCTCTATTGCTTTCGCGTGTTTCGCCTTCACTTCCAGCCTTCCTTGATACTGTCACGCTCTACTGACGTAAACTTAGAAGACTTTTTACAATATCAGGAAGAAATTGGTTATTCTTGGTTCAAACTTATTGTATTTAGGAGTCACAGCGAGGAAATAATTTCATATACGGGGTGTTCTACTAATTATAAACATGGAAATTATTCCCACTGTTATTGAAAATATGAAAAAATTATCCAAAGAGAAACTTAAAAAATTCGTTGGTGATATTTTTTTAGGAATTCTCTGTCATTTCAGTGGCTATAGATATTCTGGTTCAGAAAGGGACTTTTTGTTCTTTATTCAAACTTGTTAAATTTCGCAGTCACATCACATGTAGATTTTTTTAATCGCACCACTATTAATGCCAAGCTGCGGTATGTCGTCTAAATGATTTCGTAGCTTACTATATGTTCCACTCCAACATCTTTCTACACATTTGGATCTCAGAGCCAGAGCGTATTAAGTCCACTTTTTACAAAAAATGACATTTTATATCTTTCCCGTATCAAATTTTTCACTCTTTCTAATGGTAAAAATTATTTCGTTCTAATTCGTTTAGTTTTTAATATAATAATGCAATAACGATATTGAGTCCATATTTTGTTCCGAGCAAAACAGTCTAAAGTCGATCACATAGGGGACTTAATGTAACGTTCACCACTTCTAAATATCGAGACTTGTCTCAAATCCATTCAATAGTACGAATGTTGCGATTATTTTTCGTTGAAACCTTACCGAATGATTCCAAAGTTACAAGATTTCAGCATCTTTGATTTGCTCTCCCCTAATATTTGAAAAATGTAACTTAATATACCCTGGCTTTGGGTTCCAGATATATTTCCTACGTGAATTATCTTTACAAATTTCGCACGAACAGATGTTAACACGTAATATCACACGCAATAATGGCGTGACAGATTTTCTTTCACCGCGGCGGACTATTCCGCCGCGAAAGATGGTCGTCAGCCCTTTTTGCTCGACATCGAACGAGGAAGCGTCTCCGGCCGGTAATAAAACCACCCATGAATCGCGGAGTGGGGTTGTCGGAATCCATAGCGGTAGAGAAAAAAAGAAACCGGGTAGAATGGAGACCCGGCGCGCCGTGATTCCGGTCAAACGTCGTGAATGCGAATGAAGTTTGCTCACGGATAATATTTCGCTGAAGAGCGGAGGGCCACGTTCGAAGGGACAGAAAGTCATCTATTGAACGGTCCCAAGAGCCAATGCGAGAAGAGTTTCTATGGACGGGGGAGAATCGAATGTTACGTTCGCTCGTAATGGATTGATATATCGTAAATTCGAAGAGTGCTTTAACGGGGGCGTGCTCGACAATGAGCGAAACGTGAGTTTCCAGATGGAGTGAAAGTAACATGTTATTCAAGGTTACTAACGTTTCCGTGTGGTTGGGTGAGCTCAGAATATGATTTCTCTTTCAATATTGGCGTTCGTGCTTGAGGAGACATTTAGAAACTAAGAAAGTTGAAATGTTGCCTTGAACGTGGCCAGGAACCTTGTTGGAACGCTACAATAGGAACCGTAGTCTGAACCCTAGTCCAAATGTTAGCCCAGAACCTATCCAGAACACTAGCCTGAACTTTAGTGAAACCCCTAGAAACCAAAGCTACAAACATTCCTAGGTAGAAACCCTAACCGAAATCTTATTCCAAAATCTATCCAGAACCTTAGCTCGAACTTTAGTAAAAACCCTAAAAACCATAGAACTCTAGGTAAAATCCTAGACAGAAACCCCTAGAAATTTAGA